CAAGGAGTGCCAGGTTCCCGATGATGTCCAGCACAGGATTTGTGATTGTCCTCTGTATGCACAGGCAAGGCAGCGTTGTCAATCAGTTGTGGAACAGTGGGCAAATTTGCCAGTGTGTCTGACGCATCACCTCTTGGTTCCGCGCATGCCGGAGATGACTGCTTTCCGAGTCGCGCTCGGCAGCATCGCCGACACCACTGCGGAATTTTGGTCTTCCAGAACGACGCTGGGCCGGCAGAACATTTTCACGGATGGGACATGCACTCAACCCGCTATGGCAGATTGCGCGATTGCAGCGTGGAGCGTGGTGCATGCTGGCACGGGTGACGTCATTGCATGTGGGCCCTTACACGGGCAGCTCCAGACAACTCCTCGAGCAGAAATGACTGCCGCTATTGCCGCACTTCGCTGGATCATCAGTCGGCGAGTAACAGCAACACTTTGGATGGATGCCTACCACATCGCTTCCGGCATCAATGGTCTCATTCAAGGTGGGCATGTTTCGGCGCAAGCAGAAAATGGTGATCTGTGGCAAACGTTGTCCGCACTGGTGGAGCAGCTGGAGCCAGCGCAGGCACAGATCCAACATGTTCCCTCCCATCTTGATCCGCATCAGTGCACTGATGAATTTGAGATCTGGGTGTCTACGTGGAACCAGCATGCTGACACCGTGGCGGCCGTTGCAAACGCAAGCAGATCGTTGGAGTTCCTGCAGCTCCTTGAGGGCATTGGCGAGAAGTATGATCGCCAGGCCAACGTGATCCGTCAACTTCGTAGTATGTTCTTTGCTATCGCAGATGTACAGCAAACTTTGCGTCCGGAGGTTGAGCCTGTTGCACCAGATGTCGTCGAGATATCTTTGCCCCTGGTTGATGTACAGTTTAGGCTCTCGGATTTGACCCCGCTGGGGTGGAGGCAGTTGCTTGATAGTACCCCCTCCGCGCTCCCAGCTGGTTTTCTTAGGAGTGTCGCGGCTTTGCTTTTGGAGCAGGATGCCAACCATGATCAGGTTTGCCTTGTTTCGACTTTGGAGCTCACGGTTTGGATTGTCGGGGCTGGTGTTGCCTTTCCGGTCCAAGACCCGGTGAGCAACAGTTGGGTTGATCCTGCTTCCATCGTTTATAAGGAACCGCACCAGACTTTGGCTGTACAGGTGCGTCTGGTTCGCAAGGCGCTGCGGATCCTAGTTAAGCTTTTTCACGCAGAGTCCTGTTGGATTGGAGGCATCAACTTGACGGACCTGGGGGTTACTATGCCTTTTGATGGGTTGGGGCTTGGTGTGGATGTTGGGGTTTTCCAGGCATGCCGCCAACGGATTCAGGACTTTTGTTCACGACGCCCAATTCGGGCAAGCCGTGATTTAGCTCGGCCGCTTTGACGTTGACTCGGACTTCCAGGCATGGCGCACTGCACTGCGTCTCAGCTGTGCATGCGCTTCTCAGCTTCGTGTGATAAAGAGAGAATCAGAGAACCGAAGCTGGGGCGGGAGCTGTGTCATCCATCGCTTGCAGCTCGAGCTCGTCCTCCGTGTCCAAGAGGAGGTACTTCTCCGGCGCTCTGCAGGGCTCGGGGACGGCGGTGCTCTCCGAAGGCTGCACCGAGGCCGACCTGGCTGGCTGGAGAATGCGCGTCCCTATGAGCCATGTATGTAAGGTGTGACACAGCCTGGCGCCGTCCATAGCTCGCAACCGTGCGGAAAGCCAAAAAAGAAGGCACTCAATAGTAGCACAATAGCCTCCCTTTGACCCCCCCCCCCCCCCAAAAGGGAGGAGGGCCACCACCTGGAAGACGTGGAAGTGTCCATGGCTCGGCTCGGCTGCTGAGCCCGCCGGGTCCGGCGTCAACCATGGCCGCAAGCTGCTGCGGGAGCCCAGCCCCATAGAAGTCTGCAAGCCGCCTTCACTGAATCCTGAAGCCCAACCCCTGTGAGGCCTCCAATCTCAATATTAAAGCCGGAAGCCCAACAACCCTAAAAACAATACCTAGATCCCCATAAGTCTTGCGTTGTCTTTAGTTTCGTGCCTTTGCCCTATGCTGCCCGGACGGGCTGATGGGAGGCTTTATTCCTGCATGGAGCCCAGCAAATACGGGGCGGGGCCCGGGGGTGCACAGAATTCCTTTGAGACAAACAGGGCTCAAGGGCGAGAGGGTCTTGGACTCAGACTTCGGGCTTTGACGGTTTATATAAGAGCTCCCAAAAACTCAGCAGCCCACTCAGGGAGCATCTGTTGGAGGAGTCTAAGAACGATTGTTCAATTTCCCCACCCCTGCTTTCCCGTGCTGCCGTCCTCTGCTGGCTTGGGGCCTCCAACTTTCTACGCTCCATCGAATTCGGTCCTTTCCCAAAGGGACCATCTAGTTTTGGGCTCCTGGACTGCGCGCTTTCAAGCCCGGGTCCGGAAAGCAGACTTCAATCTTTCAACGCTGTTCTCGGACGGCTTGATACTTGCAAGATATGATCAGATGCTCCTGGGCTTTATTGCCAACTTCTGCGTGGCACGTACGACGTGCGGCACTTGAGCTTTTCGGGGTGGCGGTGGCTTCGCCGTTCGGCCCATCAAGTTCAGGATGGCGCATGGCACGGTGGTCCCGAGTCTTCAGACTTCAGGGGACATCGAAAGTTCCCAGCTGAAATCCGAGAGATCGCACAAAAAGATGAAAAACATAGCCCAAAATTGGGATGCGGAGCAATGCTCACAAAGCACCTGCTGCCCCTGTGGGTCTGTCTCTGCATGCTACACGTTGTTGATTCGCTGTGCACCGAATCCAACTATGCAGCAGCTTCGCCGTTTACTGCGGCGCGGCAATGCTCCCAGATGTACTCCCTCTGAAGAAGCTGCCGCTGGAGGCTATCCACAACCATCCGCGACGCCGAGAGCCTGAAAGAGGCTGTAAGCATTGGAAGCAGCCTAAGCAGCCTGGGGGCTGCATCCACCAAAGAGTGCCAGCCTGGGCATACTCCAACCCGCAAGCAGAGACTCATATGGTGAGGTCGCCAAACCGATGATGCAGGCTACCTCGATTCACGACCAGTGCGAGCCCACTACCACTCAGTCCTCGTCTCGGACATATGCCCAGATTCAGAGGAGCTGGACTACGTGGAGCTGGGGTCATATGGGCGGTATTCGGTCTGGAGGTTCTTGGAGTTCAAGTTGGGTGTGATGCCGGTTTTCCAGACACCGCAGAAGAGGTCTGTGGCATTCGAGTCTTCCGCATACCGCTCGTCGCCGCCGTTGAAGATCCGGGTGTAGTAATGCCCAGTCCTGGCCCGGACGTCGGCGGCCGTGGCCACCACGCGGCGCTCCTGAAAGCAGACCCCCCCCCCTCCACCTTCCCAACCTTCCGAAACCCGCCATCCAACCCAAACAACCCCAAACCCTAAACCTCGGCGGCAGCCCCTTTCGAGGCGGACCCCCCCTTCGGTCCTCTGGGAGAGCCCAGAATCGCAGCTGCACGTCCCCGCCGAGCGCGCCATGATGGCGGTGGCGAGCCAGGTCTGGAGATCTGCTTCGAAGGCCTCTGGCAAATTGACCTGTCAGGGTCTGCGGCTTCTGAGGGCCCGAAGTCTACATTCAGCGCAACCGTTCAATTCGGCTTAGAGAGAGCCTCGGCAAGGGTCCGCCGTTGCTGACAAATAGATCTGCTGTGCTCATAAAGGTTGCTGTTCTTCTTGACCTCCCCCAGCTTCTGCCTGTGGGTAGTTCGAAAGTCCTCCACGGTCACCAGCCGGGTACGAGAAGACGCCGTCTTTCAGACCCTGCTTCACGTAATCCAGAGTGTGGGAGCCCACATGGAACATCATTAGCGGCTCCTTCCCAGGGAGATCCTCTGACATGGTCTCCACCAAGCTGGCCGTCCTGCCAGCGGCATCCAGAGCATAGAGGATGAACTTCCACTTCCGCAGCACCGCCGGGGCCCCAGTTTGGGGAAACAGCTCCGTGCAGCGGCGGCCCTCTTCATAGAAGGCGGCCACCACCTCTGTCTGCCACTCCTGGTAGGCGGCTTTGTCGATGACGGCCCCAGACGGCAGCCCTTCACCTGCTCAGCATTCTTCACACTTGTGATACGTGATTGTTGTGCTTGGGGGGGTGTGACCCATAGCTTAGTCACAACAACAAGTTCGATGTTCCAGGCGTGGCCTCTGAGGGCCATGGCGATTGCTGAGCCCCACTTTCTCACATGGCGGCAAGCTGAGGCTTCATGCTTGAGGACGACCTGGGGGTTGAGGAAGTCGCCGACAGCTCCAACATCTCTCCGGGGTGCGTTTCGGTGGAAGATGAAACTGGGCAACGAGCTAAGACTGAATCTAAAATGCTGGATAGAGCTCAGAACCCCGGATTTGAGGCAAGGCGGCTTCAGCCAGTGGCTCGGGCTTCCGGTGCGACAGCAAAGCCCACACAACCCCAGTGCGTTGAGAGTGTGTCGGACCCACGGAGCTGTACGGCCGAAGGGCTGTTTGCAGTTGGAAGCGATGCTTAACGGCTTTATAAGGCTTAAAGATTGTTCAGTCGATCCTGCGTCGACCATTACCTTCTAAAATATTCCCCAATTCAACCACCACTGTGGAGCTCCGACTGCTCAACAAGCTGCCTAAGTCTACGTAGCCCGAACCCCATGCGTGGGTTCCAAGGTCGTCTCGGTCGCGATTTTGCTGCATACCGGTCGAAGAATGCGGCCTGGCACTGTGCTTTGCTGATGTAGGTGATGCTGTGGCTGTTTGGTCAGCAAGTTGTTTGGAGAACCCTGCGCGCCCTGCCTTTTTTGGCAGCTGCTTTGCAGTCCGGCCATTCCTTTGTGCAACACGAGGCCTGACGAAACGTGCCCTGCTTTTCTTGCAGGGTCTGATATCCAAGGTCTGGGCAGGTCCGCATGTGGAATCACAGACAGCAACCTGAATCCGAACCACCCAAATTGGCAAGTGCAAGTAGCCACAGATGGAGCTATAGATGACACATGCCAAGCCCGACTCAAGCACGCTTTGCAGGGGCAGCGCTGCCAATTCACGCACGCCGGAAAAGTCTCTCTGGGACGCCCTCTTGTTTTAGAAGAGCTGGCCACACGCCGTCGCTCAGCTGCTCCCACGCTTCGGCGGGGATGCAATCTGCCATGTAGAGCTCCTGGCGCTCAGGGACAAAAGAAAGCGAAAGCTCCACCAAACTCCACTCAGAGGCGCAGCGGCCCCCAGGTTCCAAGGGGCTGGGAGGCGCTTTTGTACGAAACGGCTCAAGGAGGGCACCCCCCACACACCGTGACAACAAGCGGACCACAACTCATCGCCTCAAAGCCTCTTAACTCGAGACGGGCTCAACTACGGAAGGTCTCATTCGGAATTGACTTTCTTGTACCAGTCAAGGTTCGGGGAGATCTTCGTGTTGAGTGAAAATTGGCGGTGCTGCAGTGCTTCGACTTCGTCATGAACGTGCTAGTGTTCCATTGCCAAAATCGAAAACATTCTGTGTGCCCCGCTTAAGCCGCTAAAGGGCCTGATCGGCGCAAGTCGAGTGAAGGGCCGAGTCTGAATCCAAAGGCCTGAACAAGACCTTCGCCGTGTGTGTCCTGAAGGGCGCTGCACCGCGCCAACGCGGCGAGGAGGACGTGGGCCCCCTCTGCGCCCTGGGCGCCATCGCCGAAACACCTGGGCCGGCGGTTCTTCCAGGTAGGAAAGCCCCCATGTGGACGGGGGACAGCCAACGCGGCGCCACCTCTCCCCATAAAGAAAGCAGGGAAGCCGAAAAAACATCCACCCCTCTTCCGAGGCACCGGAAGAAGTTGGCCTTTTTCAGCTTCTCCCAGCGCGCGTCCCGGAGCTGCCGCCAGGCCTCCGCGGGGACTTTGTAGCAGTTGTACATGTCCAGCTCCTGGCGGGTTTCCCGGGTGCCCCCCGGAGGTGCATGCGGGGGGGAATGGGTCGCGCAGGTCTCGTCTCGGGGGCGGCGCTCTGAGTCGGCGAGGGCTCTAGTTTTGAGGGGAAAAAGGCGGGTCGAAGATGGTTCTACTACAGAAGGCTTAAAAGCGTAGCGGCCTCATGATGAAGAAACCCTCAAACCCTAGCCGAGGGGGTATCCCCCTCCATCGCCCCAAAGGCCTGAAAAGCCTGGAGGGAGTTCTGTGAGAAGAGCTGAGGGTGAGGAGGCTGAATCCACAAAGCGTTGTAACCGAGCTCGGGAGTTTAATGCGGGTTGCAGATGAGGCGCGCCACCGTGGATGGTTCAAGGGATTCGTGCTGAGGGTTGAGGGTTGAGGGTTTTAGGGTTTAGGGGCCCACCAAACTCTACAAAGGAGCAGGCTTCGTCTCAAAACGACCCTCCGATTGATTCCGATGCCCTACACAATAAACGCTATGCCCCTCCTAACTCGCCCTAAAGCCCCCTAACCCCATAAACCCGTAACCGTATAGCCACATAAACCAAAACTCTCAACCGTAAACCCTATAAGCATGTCACAGGAACTTCTTCAACCTCCGGCTCAGGGTTTTAGGGCTTAGGGGTTCAGGGTTTAGGGTTTTAGGCTTTAGGGTTTTAGGGTTTAGGGTTTAGGGTTTTAGGGTTTTAGGGTTTTAGGGTTTTAGGGTTTTAGGGTTTTAGGGTTTTAGGGTTTTAGGGTTTTAGGGTTTTAGGGTTTTAGGGTTTTAGGGTTTTAGGGTTTTAGGGTTTTAGGGTTTTAGGGTTTTAGGTTTTTAGGGTTTTAGGTTTTAGGGTTTTAGGGTTTTAGGGTTTTAGGGTTTTAGGGTTTTAGGGTTTTAGGGCTTTAGGGTTTTAGGGTTTTAGGGCTTTAGGGCTTTAGGGTTTTAGGGTTTTAGGGTTTTAGGGTTTTAGGGTTTTATGGTTTTAGGGCTTTAGGGTTTCAGGGTTTTAGGGTTTTAGGGCTTTAGGGTTTTAGGGCTTTAGGGTTTTAGGGTTTTAGGGTTTTAGGGTTTTAGGGGTTTAGGGTTTTAGGGTTTTAGGGTTTTAGGGTTTTAGGGTTTTAGGGTTTTAGGGTTTTAGGGTTTTAGGGTTTTAGGGTTTTAGGGCCTTAGGGCCTTAGGGTTTTAGGATTTTAGGGTTTTAGGGTTTTAGGAGGTTTTAGGGTTTCAGGAGGTTTTAGGGTTTTAGGAGGTTTTAGGGTTTTAGGAGGTTTTAGGGTTTTAGGAGGTGTTAGGGTTTTGGGTTTAGGATCTTCATCACGATGCGAGTTGCGATTCTATAGGGCCGGGCTTTAGATCGTCGCATTAGATGTCGCCCATTACAACCCCGAGTTTCCTTGCACACAGGCCCGAGAGACATCCAGCAGCATCACTGAGATTTTGGAAGTACCCTCTCGCCTCTCCTTCAAGAACAACCTAGGATTACCAATTCTTGTTTCGAACTTGGACCAGGGCCCTTTCGGGACCCTAGAGCTGATATGTTTTAGAAATCTGGGCATGCAGGGCATTATGTCATCAGGACCTTGGACCTCCCTTTGCTCGGTGTGTCCTGGAGCTGGCTGCACCGTGCCAATGCGGCGAGGAGGATATCGGCCCCCTCTGCGCCCTGGGAGCGGTAGTGGAAACACCTGGGCCGGCGGTTCTTACAGGCGGGAGACGCCCCATGTGGAGGGGGGACAGCCGACGCGGCGCCACCTCTCCCCATAAAGAAAGCAGGGAAGCCGAAAAAACATCCACCCCCCCCTTCCGAGGCACAGAGTGAAGTTGGCCTTTTTCAGCTTCTCCCAGCGCGCGTCCCGGAGCTGCCGCCAGGCCTCCGCGGGGACTTTGTCGCAGAATTGCATGTCCAGCTCCTGGCGGGTTTTCCGGGTGCCCCCCGGAGGTGCATGCGGGGGGGAATGGGTCGCGCAGGTCTCGTCTCGGGGGTGGCGCTCTGAGTCGGCGAGGGCTCTAGTTTTGAGGGGAAAAAGGCGGGTCGAAGATGGTTCTACTACAGAAGACTTAAAAGCGTAGCGGCCTCATGATGAAGAAACCCTCAAACCCTAGCCGAGGGGGTATCCCCCTCCATCGCCCCAAAGGCCTGAAAAGCCTGGAGGGAGTTCTGTGAGAAGAGCTGAGGGTGAGGAGGCTGAATCCACAAAGCGTTGTAACCGAGCTCGGGAGTTTAATGCGGGTTGCAGATGAGGCGCGCCACCGTGGATGGTTCAAGGGATTCGTGCTGAGGGTTGAGGGTTGAGGGTTTTAGGGTTTAGGGGCCCACCAAACTCTACAAAGGAGCAGGCTTCGTCTCAAAACGACCCTCCGATTGATTCCGATGCCCTACACAATAAACGCTATGCCCCTCCTAACTCGCCCTAAAGCCCCCTAACCCCATAAACCCATAACCGTATAGCCACATAAACCAAAACTCTCAACCGTAAACCCTATAAGCATGTCACAGGAACTTCTTCAACCTCCGGCTCAGGGTTTAGGGTTTTAGGCTTTAGGGCTTTAGGGTTTAGGGTTTTAGGGTTTTAGGGTTTTAGGGCTTTAGGGTTTTAGGGTTTTAGGGTTTTAGGGTTTTAGGGTTTTAGGGTTTTAGGGTTTTATGGTTTTAGGGTTTTATGGTTTTAGGGTTTTAGGGTTTTAGGGTTTTAGGGTTTTAGGGTTTTAGGGTTTTAGGGTTTTAGGGTTTTAGGGTTTTAGGGTTTTAGGGTTTTAGGGTTTTAGGGTTTTAGGGTTTTGGGGTTTTAGGGTTTTAGGGTTTTAGGGTTTTAGGGCCTTAGGGTTTTAGGGTTTTAGGGTTTTAGGAGGTTTTAGGGTTTTAGGAGGTTTTAGGGTTTTAGGAGGTTTTAGGGTTTTAGGAGGTTTTAGGGTTTAGGATCTTCATCACGATGCGAGCTGCGATTCTATAGGGGGCCGGGCTTTAGATCCTCGCATTAGATGTCGCCCATTTCAACCCCGAGTTTCCTTGCACTACAGGCCCGAGAGACATCCAGCAGCATCAGTAAGATTTTGGAAGTACCCTCTCGCCTCTCCTTCAAGAACAACCTAGGATTACCAATTCTTGTTTCGAACTTGGACCAGGGCCCTTTCGGGACCCTAGAGCTGATATGTTTTAGAAATCTGGGCATGCAGGGCATTATGTCATCAGGACCTTGGACCTCCCTTTGCTCGGCGCGTGTCCTGGAGCTGGCTGCACCGGGCCAACGCCGAGAGCAGGGCGCCGGCGCCCTCTGCGCCCTGGGAGCTGTCGTCGAAACACCTGGGCCGGGCAGTTCTTACAGGCGGGAAACGCCCCATGTGGAGGGGGGACAGCCGACGCGGCGCCCCTCTACGCACAAAGAAAGCAGGGAAGCCGAAAAAACATCCCCCCCCTTCCGAGGCACGCGTAGAAGTTGGCTCTCTGCAGCTTCTCCCAGCGCGCGTCCCGGAGCTGCCACCAGGCCTCCGCGGGGACTTTGTGGCAGTTGCCCATGTACAGCTCCTGGCGGGTTTCCGGGTGCCCCACGGAGGTGCATGCGGGGGAATGGGTCGCGCAGGTCTCGTCTCGGGGGTGGCGCTCTGAGTCGGCGAGGGCTCTAGTTTTGAGGGGTTAAAAGGCGGGTCGAAGATGGTTCTGCTACAGAAGACTTAAAAGCGTAGCGGCCTCATGATGCAGAAACCCCCAAACCCTCCAAAAAAGCCGAGGGGGAATCCCCCTCCATCGCCCCAAAGGCCTGAAAAGCCTGGAGGGAGTTCTGTGAGAAGAGCTGAGGGTGAGGAGGCTGAATCCACAAAGCGTTGTAACCGAGCTCGGGAGTTTAATGCGGGTTGCAGATGAGGCGCGCCACCGTGGATGGTTCAAGGGATTCGTGCTGAGGGTTGAGGGTTGAGGGTTTTAGGGTTTAGGGGCCCACCAAACTCTACAAAGGAGCAGGCTTCGTCTCAAAACGACCCTCCGATTGATTCCGATGCCCTACACAATAAACGCTATGCCCCTCCTAACTCGCCCTAAAGCCCCCTAACCCCATAAACCCGTAACCGTATAGCCACATAAACCAAAACTCTCAACCGTAAACCCTATAAGCATGTCACAGGAACTTCTTCAACCTCCGGCTCAGGGTTTTAGGCTTTAGGGTTTTAGGGTTTAGGGTTTTAGGGTTTTAGGGTTTTAGGGTTTTAGGGTTTTAGGGTTTTAGGGTTTTAGGGTTTTAGGGTTTTAGGGTTTTAGGGTTTTAGGGTTTTAGGGTTTTAGGGTTTTAGAGTTTTAGGGTTTTAGGGTTTTAGGGTTTTAGGGCCTTAGGGTTTTAGTGTTTTAGGGTTTTAGGGTTTTAGGGTTTTAGGGTTTTAGGGTCTTAGGGTTTTAGGGTTTTAGGCTTTTAGGGTTTTAGGGTTTTAGGGTTTTAGGGTTTTAGGGTTTTAGGGTTTTAGGGCCTTAGGGTTTTAGGGTTTTAGGGTTTTAGGAGGTTTTAGGGTTTTAGGAGGTTTTAGGGTTTTAGGAGGTTTTAGGGTTTTAGGAGGTGTTAGGGTTTTGGGTTTAGGATCTTCATCACGATGCGAGTTGCGATTCTATAGGGCCGGGCTTTAGATCGTCGCATTAGATGTCGCTCATGACAACCCCGAGTTTCCTTGCACTACAGGCCCGAGAGACATCCAGCAGCATCACTAAGATTTTGGAAGTACCCTCTCGCCTCTCCTTCAAGAACAACCTAGGATTACCAATTCTTGTTTCGAACTTGGACCAGGGCCCTTTCGGGACCCTAGAGCTGACATGTTTTGGCAATCTGGGCATACAGGGCATTCTGCCATCAGGACCTTGGACCTCCCTTTGCTCGGCGAGTGTCCTGGAGCTCGCTGCACTGCACCAACGCGGCGAGGAGGCCGCCGGCCCCCTCCGCACCCTGGGAGTCTGCCTCGAAACACCTGGGCCGGCGGTTCTTCCAGGTGGGAAGGGCCCCAATGTGGAGGGGGGACAGCCGACGCGGCGCCACCTCTCCACATAAAGAAAGCAGGGAAGCCGAAAACATCCCCCCCTCTTCTGAGGCACGACCAGAAGTCGGCTTTCCGCAGCTTCTCCCAGCGCGCATCCCGGAGCGGCCGCCAGGCCTCCGCGGGGACTTTGTAGCAGTAGCGCATGTCCATCTCCTGGCGGGTTTCCCGGGTGCCCCACGGAGGTGCATGCGGGGGGGAATGGGTCGCGCAGGTCTCGTCTCGGGGGCGGCGCTCTGAGTCGGCGAGGGCTCTAGTTTTGAGGGGAAAAAGGCGGGTCGAAGATGGTTCCACTACAGAAGGCTTAAAAGCGTAGCGGCCTCATGATGAAGAAACCCTCAAACCCTAGCCGAGGGGGTATCCCCCTCCATCGCCCCAAAGGCCTGAAAAGCCTGGAGGGAGTTCTGTGAGAAGAGCTGAGGGTGAGGAGGCTGAATCCACAAAGCGTTGTAACCGAGCTCGGGAGTTTAATGCGGGTTGCAGATGAGGCGCGCCACCGTGGATGGTTCAAGGGATTCGTGCTGAGGGTTGAGGGTTGAGGGTTTTAGGGTTTAGGGGCCCACCAAACCCCACAAAGGAGCAGGCCTCGTCTCAAAACGACCCTCCGATTGATTCCAATGCCCTACACAATAAACGCTATGCCCCTCCTAACTCGCCCTAAAGCCCCCTAACCCCATAAACCCGTAACCGTATAGCCACATAAACCAAAACTCTCAACCGTAAACCCTATAAGCATGTCACAGGAACTTCTTCAACCCCGGCTCAGGGTTTTAGGGTTTAGGGGTTCAGGGTTTAGGGTTTTAGGCTTTAGGGTTTTAGGGTTTAGGGTTTTAGGGTTTTAGGGCTTTAGGGTTTTAGGGTTTTAGGGTTTTACGGTTTTAGGGTTTTAGGGTTTTAGGGTTTTAGGGTTTTAGGGCCTTAGGGTTTTAGGGTTTTAGGGTTTTAGGGTTTTAGGAGGTTTTAGGGTTTTAGGAGGTTTTAGGGTTTTAGGAGGTTTTAGGGTTTTAGGAGGTGTTAGGGTTTTGGGTTTAGGATCTTCATCACGATGCGAGTTGCGATTCTATAGGGCCGGGCTTTAGATCGTCGCATTAGATGTCGCTCATGACAACCCCGAGTTTCCTTGCACTACAGGCCCGAGAGACATCCAGCAGCATCACTAAGATTTTGGAAGTACCCTCTCGCCTCTCCTTCAAGAACAACCTAGGATTACCAATTCTTGTTTCGAACTTGGACCAGGGCCCTTTCGGGACCCTAGAGCTGATATGTTTTAGAAATCTGGGCATGCAGGGCATTATGCCATCAGGACCTTGGACCTCCCTTTGCTCGGTGTGTCCTGGAGCTGGCTGCACCGTGCCAATGCGGCGAGGAGGATATCGGCCCCCTCTGCGCCCTGGGAGCGGTTGTTGAAACACCTGGGCCGGCGGTTCTTCCAGGCGGGAGACGCCCCATTGTGGAGGGGGGACAGCCCACACGGCGCCACCTCTACGCATACAGAAAGCAGGGAAGCCGAAAAAACATCCACCCCTTTCCGAGGCACTGATCGAAGTCGGCCTTCTGCAGCTTCTCCCAGCGCGCGTCCCGGAGCTGCCGCCAGGCCTCCGCGGGGACTTTGTGGCAGTCTCGCATGTTCAGCTCCTGGCGGGTTTTCCGGGTGCCCCACGGAGGTGCATGCGGGGGAATGGGCCGCGCAGGTCTCGTCTCGGGGGTGGCGCTCTGAGTCGGCGAGGGCTCTAGTTTTGAGGGGTAAAAGGCGGGTCGAAGATGGTTCTACTACAGAAGACTTAAAATCGCAGCGGCCTCATGATGAAGAAACCCTCAAACCCTCCAAAAAGCCGAGGGGATATCTCCCTCCGTCGCCCCAAAGGCCTGAAAAGCCTGGAGGGAGTTCTGTGAGAAGAGCTTA